TTCACGCATGCGTGGAGTGTATGGAGTGTACGGGAGTGATTCACGCAATGGTGCGAATAGTCACGGCCATTTTTAATATCAGGTAGTTCAATAAGCTCATTTGCAACTAATTAATACTTCAATTCTGCTACTTTTGTCTACCAGGCATACATACGTATACTCTTCTATAGATGGATTTTCACAGTCAATTAATACTATAAAACAAATACAATGGAAAAATAATAGACAATAGTACTAATAAAGAAAAATACAATCGTTGAGATGATGAAAAGATGAATAATAAAAAGAGGGAGTAGAAGAGACCATTCATGGAAAAATTTGATGCTATAATAAATTCTACGAGATCGAGCATTATTAACCGTATTGGTATCCGCATTGGGCAGAAGACCTAATATCCTCTGGCCTCAGGCAAATCTGTTTATAATTAGTAAGATGATCCTGGATGGCGAGACCTCACTGACCCAATTCCACAAGTGACTCGTGGAACCAAAAAGCCCGGTGTACCGTGAATGTGTACAATTTTGGCTGGTGGTGGGATAACTCAGGATGCACTCTCATCGTTAAGTTTCAATTAAAACTAATTACCCAACTGTGGCGAATTTTTACAACATGGGAAAACCCGCGGGCTACTCAAGATTTATTGATTTAGTGACCTGCGAATTATTATTTCTATTAGCCTACTTATCACCAATCTTTTCATCTCACTCTTTCGCAGTGATAACATTTTCAAGTATTTCCAAGGAGTAGATACTTTACGAGTTTATTGAGTCAGATGACTCTTGAGGCTCGTTCAACTTAACTGGCACCAGTCCTCCAAGTCTCATTTCAGCATGAATAATTAATCACCAATTTTAAGTGAATTCTTACTGAAGGAAGTCTACACCAATATATAATAAAATATCGTGACTCAAGCTAAGGCATGAGTATTGCTATTATTGAGATAAACGTATTTCTTGCCTCTTATCTCACTCTTCAACGGAACAAGCGTGCGATATAAACTAATTTTTTTTACTTTTGTTTGTTTTTCTTTTTCGTCGCATGCCTGTTGCCAAGATTATTATTACTGGCAATAAAATTATCCATTTGTCGAGTTTTTTTCCTTAGTAAGCCGCCAAGAAGCCGCGAAAAAAAAAACATGAAAAAAAAAAAGAAATCCCAAGCGAACTCAGGTGACGTGTATTTAGATTACGCCCTTTCACTAAGTCTCATAAACTTTAATCAACCTAAAAAGAAATGAATATGAAAAAGTGCCAATAGAAATAATTTGATTTAATAAATTGAATACCCGGAGATTGACCTCGTGCGCATAGAGGTAGAGCAAATATGTAGGTGATGGAAAATAAAGTCACGGCCTGCTCATCATTGATTCCTTTGTCACTTCAATACTCGACCTCTGGCACAGCTTCTACGTAAACCACTATCGTACAAAATATTCCCCAGGTGGGATTCTGTACTAACGAGACACACGACTGGCAGTATTGTAATGATTCGAAAAGGAGGGGCCTAGGGGCGGGCTTGTTACAACCGTAAACCATTTTCCACATAGTAGTGTGATTTAATGATGTCGTTCATGTGTATTCATATGTGAGCCATTGTTGACAGAATTGTTCATCTCTTCCTTTTTTCAGTAGATTTCATTAGATATATGGATCGATAAATTAGGATACAATATTTTATTCTTGAAACTTAATTACTATGTTTACGTGAGACTTGCGAAAAAACGGACAAAGGTAATCATGAATACACTGTAATCCTTTCTGTTATCTCTATTTGCTGATTTAACAATCTTTCCTATATATTAGAGGCTTTCCAGCAGTTTACGCTCTGTATTAGGAAATGTTTATGTCATATTGTTCCACCATCAATCGAGAGTTTTTCTATTATAGAGGAATTTCGCATGGCTCATGGAGAAATTATTACTATGAACCAAGAGTTGTGAAGAATCAATAATCCACTCTAGTTTTCAACCCCTACTTTCAATACTAATCTAATGTTTATTGAATTAGATTGGACGATCATGAGTTCAATTGAATTATTCAATATTTAAATACCAAATAATGCTGCAGACTGCAAATCTATAATTAGAAAGAACAACGAAAGAAATATGCACAAAATCTTCTTCAACAAATAAAACATGTATTTATGTGTAAAAATAATGAGACTATATGTTATCTCAAGGGGCCTGAAGCACCAGGGAAGAAACGTTGAGAGAGAAAGACAATCAGAGAGCAATCCCATAGATATCGATAATTCAACGAGTGAAGAGAATTGAGGCCTTATGAAAATCCGCACCGCGAAACTGTTTGAACACCTACAATAGCAAGTTTTTATTGTCCTTCCTTTCTTCTTTCTATAGTTGCCAAGTCTAAGTTGCCAGAGCAGTGCAAAGGGGGGGGGGGAGGTGGGTTGCGTACTTGAGCAAATTTCATTATAATCTGCCATATTCGTATTCCACAATCCGTGAATCTTTCCATTGCAGAAGTAAAATTTTGATTGGCATCAAGAATAAAAAGTACGATTCAAATTCATGATACAATGGTGGGATAGCTCTATAATTGACTTGAGTTCTTCTGCAGTAACTTGATGGATGTTATAAAAATTTTTGTTCATTTGAGTATATTTCACATGCGACCAATAGAGTGATTCTCCTACAAATACCATAATATTGGAATATTGGTACGACTAATGCCTTGACTAGAACAATGTTAATTATTTAATGCCTCACATATTCTGTCACCAACTGTTGTAATATATTGAATGTATGAGGCACGAATTTGTTCACCTCTATTTTCTCAAGTGTGCCACATTGTTACAGTATAGTCAAATACTTGCTCAACATCGCAGGCCCTCCAAATTTTTGGGGGAAAAAAAATAGAATGTCATGACTCGGGCATCCAAATCCCCGTTGTAATTAGCATGTTTATTGAAATTTCAGAAAAAAAAATATTTCGTTCATCTTTTCATCAACTTTTCATCATCAGTGTTCTCTCTCCTTAAATTTTACATGAGTGAGACGTAAAGTCGTCTAGCATCAGTGGTGAGATCGGGCGAATATTCTCCACAAGCTTATATGATGTGAGAAAAAGAGACAAGTGAAGTAAAAAGAAAAAGATGAAAAAAGAAGAGAATAAAAACGTGAAGAAGCTCGGTTTGCAGGAGGGGGCAGTGGGGTTGTGCGTATTAGGGTGAAATATACTGGTGGTGGAGGGTAGACAAGACGGCGTGGAAAAGAGTGAGGGCAACTGGAGGGCTGGAGGGTAGGTGGAAAGCGGGAAAGCTCGAAGGCATCACGACCATCAGTTCACTCCGGCCCCGCCAGCCGTGCAAGCTACACCGCCATATTACCCTACATTGAGCTGTCAGTGTGCGCCCGCGCGTCATCGCCTCAATTGCAAATATGAACAGTTAAGGTGGTTATAACAAGACAATGAAAGTTGAATACTGAATAATTATAACTTGGAATATTTTTAGAAGATTTTTCGAAGAAAAAAAAATGTATATATAAACATATATTGAAAAAAAAATTGGGGATCAGTGATTCAATGGATTTTTCTTTCTTCCTCGTCTCGGGAAAAAGTAATGTGTTGACACATGTAAGGCATTCAACGGTGACGTTCAAAATTTGCAATTTTATTATTTCCAACAAATTCAAATTTTGGATTTGAGAGAGAGAGAGAGAGAGAGAGCTGATAATGTTTTTGTTTTCAAATGAGTGATAATTTTATAATGTCATCCATGGAATTTCACAACATGTTAACTGCTGCTTCAGAGTTTCGTGGTTGTGACTCTTTACATGATCAATCGTCCTTCAGTGAAAGTAGAATGGATCAGAAGTTGTAATTGTGACAATTGCCGTTGGATAATAGCACATCTGAACAATCGCCCTGTGTGGTCATTGTTTACAAAATGTACAGGGAATGTGATCGATTCTGGATGGTGGAAAATGCCGGTAAGTTGACAACACTGAAGAAACCAAAATTAATCTTTCAAGATATGTTGCAAAATTCAGAATGAAAAAAAAAAATAAAAAATGAAATTGCTATTGAGAGTGAGAGCTACTATTCTGGAAGGTTAATATCGTAAATTTGATACTTTGATTGGTGGGACTTTTGGTAACACGTGTTGAAGAAAAAAACTGGGCAAATAATATAATGTCAGTAGACGAGTTTATATATTTGTAGACATTATACGCTTTATTTGATCGGACACGAGGCAAGATGTCCTCGATTATAAAAATAGAGTCAAGAGATTTGTTGCGGGGGATCGTTCACTAGTTGGTGGCTACTGATGAACCACTCGAAATTATTCCTATTTCTTGGTACAATATAACATCGACATTATTGCTTTTTCGAGATCAAGTTACGAAACGCGATTCAAAAATCATCTGGTATTAATAAAACTACTACCGCACATTAGGAACGACTCAAGGATGAAAAATGAGGTTACTCAAAAAGATGGAGATATAAAAAAGTTAATATACTAGAAGAGTATATATATAGATTATGTGAATAAAGCCTCGGTGGATTAATGATTCTTTCCATTGACACAAATCATACATCTTGTTTCGCTTTCTATAATCATTAACGAATGTATATTCAAAGGATTGTAATTATTCTCGACGAGTTGGATCATCAGAAATATCTTTTTCTCATTAAATTTTCATTTTCTTTTCATTGTTCTTATACATTTTTTAATATTAAACAATAATTGTCAAACTTATGGTTAAGTTGACCTTTTGTGCTGATGGACAAGTTTTCATTCAGTATTATCATGTGATTTGGTTTGATGCATTTGGACCTTAAATATTAATTATTGCACTTGTGTAAACCTTTATCCACCCATCTATTTATTATTATAGAATAGGATTATTATGATTGTTTTTTAGAAAGGAATTAATTCATCTCATCAGACTTTGGTTGAAAATTTCTTGAACAATTCCCATTTTAGCTATGAAAAGACTCTTTTGCAAGATTATCCTTTATCACTCAACGAGTACAAAAGATGGACCAGAATCTATGGATAGGAGGGTAGAATAAAAAAATTGTTCTTTGTCCCTCTTGGACTAAATGCATTGTTTGCGACATTGGAATAAGGAGCCATCAAGGCTCACCGCTTAAACTTATATGCCTAACCTGAATAAGCCAATTTCCCATATAAATTTGACATGACATCGGGGAGATACAGACAGTTGGGATGGGGGATTGCACCTAGAGCTTTAACATAGGTCAGCGTCAGCATCGTCAGATGTTTTGGGTTTTGAAAAATTGACTCATTATTAACTGACGGACAATTATAAAACGGTAAATATGGAAGGATATTGAATTTGCAACAGATGAATCTCACTTGCAGGTGGAATTTGTCAAGTGTCATTGAACCAATTTAAAAAGCCTTTAATCTTCATAGCATAACAATTTTATTTGGATATTTTCATATATTCACAATTTTGAAAATGCCGACATGATTACTAATGGCTGAAAATGGATTCACCTACACCTGTGTCCCCCTTAAAACGTTATTACTATAATATATAGCCATACAAAATCTGTTCGACTAAACAAAATTTCTTATGTATTTTGTTTTATTATTTATATTCAAATGTCAAATGATAATGCACAATTGTTACAAAGAATATCTTTCAATGAATGAGTTTCATTTTGCACTGCCGTATGAGCGGCTTGAAAAGCAGCAACCTAGGAATCCCACGCACATTTCAAGTCTGAGAATGAGTGTGGGATCAAAAGGCATCTATACAATTTATATCAATTTTCAATCATTATGCGAGTGTACAAAATTTAACCAAATTTTATGTCAATTAGTAAGGCGACAACAAATTTTGTCATACAAATAGCAATAGACAACAAAAAATGAACAAAAAAGCGGAGAAATTCAATTTTGAAGTGATACAATTGAAAAGAAAAAAAAATACTGAAAAGAAAATATCCTGTATCGATAAGACTGTGTGACCTTGAGGAATACTCATATCACTCCTCAACTATCGATCATTACATATAACCGCAGTATAGTAGTTCTATAACGGCACCCGGAAATACAGTATACACCTCCAACGAATGAGACCTTTCACACTCCCATACATTTTATATTTTTAATTCAACTCTATATATTTTTTTATGTCCACAGGATATCATCGTAGTACGCATCCACCGCCCTACATAATCGACAATGTAAAATGAATTTGAGCTGCCAGCATTCACCAATGCAAGATGAAATAAAGAGACCAATTTAGTGACGAATAATAATGTGACGAATAAAGGAAAAGAGGAAAAGAGGAAAAAAAGGAAAAAAGGAAAAAAGGAAAAAAGAAAAAAAGGAAAAGTCATCAAATTGTGTGAATATGTGTGAATGTCTGAATCAAGAAGATGAAGATCAATCAGATGATCAAGGTGAATTGTCTAAATCGGTGTTGAGTGAAATCAGATATTCGAATAAATCCTAGAATGGAGCGTGACGAGACGCTTGAACGAGTAAGAAATAATGAGTCGGTGGTTGGTTTATTGAATTTTATAAATTCTACTCAACAAAATCGCTCAATAGCTAATCACGAGAGTCAAAATCTTGAAGCAGTATTACTCTGGATCACCAAAGCCATTATCATGAGCTTCATTATTCTGGCAGCTCTATTTGGAAATTTACTAGTGATTGTCTCGGTAATGCGACACAGAAAGCTGCGAGTAATCACAAATTATTTTGTTGTATCACTAGCACTCGCTGACATGCTTGTTGCGATATTTGCAATGACTTTTAATGCTAGTGTTGAACTATCAGGACGGTGGTTGTTTGGTTATTTTATGTGCGACGTATGGAATTCATTGGATGTATTTTTCAGTACTGTATCAATACTCCATTTGTGTTGTATTAGTGTTGATCGCTATTATGCTATTGTTCAACCTCTTGATTATCCATTAATCATGACTAATCTGAGGCTAACAACAATGCTGGGCGTTGTTTGGTGCTCACCGACAATCATAAGCTTTCTACCAATATTTGCTGGATGGTATGCAACATCTGATCATCTGGCGAAGCGTGAGCAACATCCTGAAGACTGTGAATTTCGTGTTAATAAACCGTATGCTGTGGTAAGTTCAAGTGTTAGTTTTTGGGGTCCCGGTATCATCATGTTGATTATGTATTACAAGATCTACATGGAAGCGGATCGACAAGAGAGACTACTTTATCGGTAAGTGAGTCAATAATTTCCAACATTATTAATTGAATTGAATTGAATTGAATTGAATTGAAAAAAAACCCAATGTAGAATTTGGACATTTCTATGGTAGCCTGATGTGGTCGACTAATAATTTGAGATATCTGTCCATTTTCATTTGAAAAGACTCCCCAAATATATCCCTTATCTGTTTCTCCACCATTTTACCGGCCTCTAAACTATTTCCTCCATTTTCCATTGTTAATTTCTCAATCCTCTTTTGATATGTCTCAGCAATATTTGCCTGGCGCAGTCGTAATTTAAGATTTTTCAACATAATTGCAAGGATATAATCACCAAAGTGTGAAAAAACGTTTTCCAATTTTTCTAAAAATTCCGAAGAATCGTCCATTTGTATATTGCTGGATAACTGTTTAACATCATCATTTATTCCTCCGTCTTGCTGGTTAAGCGTGTCCACTTTAGCTCTAGTTTTTTTATCCTGAAACGCTCCATTATTATTATTATTTTATTTTCATTTCTTTTGTTAGATATTATTATACAATACAATATTTCCAACAGTGTCTCGGCCGAGACTGTTCGAACGGAAATGTCTTATCTACCTCGGAAATACTGGGAGACGTTTTCTTATCACTGAAGGTAGAGCCTAGAGTCCCAGTTTTCTGCATCCTCTTGCCATTCTCGTTGACCTCACTCTCGTGCGCCCCTCCATCCCTGTCAGCTACCTCTTGATTCACGGTGGCAATGGTGGGCACCTCATTAGCATGTCTCCCCCTCACATCACTACTTTCCAGCTTACTCTCATCTCCTTCATCTTCAAACGTTGGCGCAGCCACACCTTGAGGCTTATCCGTGACTTTTCTATCATCCAGGCTACCTAAAAACAGACGTTCAACTTCATTCTTATTTTCAACATTGCGAAAGGCTGGTTTTTTGCTTTGTGTCCAACTTATATTTCTTGAGTTTTCTTTTGGCAATTGAGAAACTGCAAAATTTTACCAGTACCACTTAACTTAAATTCTAAAATAATCACTATATAATGAATAATCTCAAAATTACGATATAATTTTGTGTCAATTGCGTTATGTCGTCTCTGCCCAATGTCTCTGCCCAACAAGTCTCGTCGTTCAATACTATTTTCCCTGATACATCGATGATTCTGTAAACAAGCAAACAAAGCTCTGGACTACTTATTATTATACTTAATTTTCTCCTTACCGAGCATTTTCCCCCCGACGAGCGCGATACCGCTAAACTTTCGTTCCAACATGACTTTACAATATCGCGGTCATAGTAACGCCTCGGGATAGTGCCCTCTGCATCGATTCCCTTTGCAAACCTCCTTAAAGAGTACGACTTTCCTCCAATCCGTTTACTTTTACTATGGAACCCATGTGAATCAGCCAGACTCCTCTTCTCTGACATGAATTTTCCTCCATCCTTGGAAATCAAATCACCTGCTCTTGAAATATCTATTTCACTCGATGAAATGAAAATGAAAATAATGACAATTGAGATTATATATTTCATGATGAAACCCAATTGGTAAAACAACAATTGCGCGCTTAGAAGTAGGTGAAATTAGCAGTGTAGGTACATGCCGTATGGAACTCGTTAAAATTTTTTCCTCGGCATACCGAGCAATTAAACTCACTATCAATTAACGTTATTTGTTTGCTTTTTTTTTTACCTCCGCAACAAGACCGGTTATCACGAGAAACAGACTGATAAACAGAGGAGGTGCCAGGAGTAATTTCTAGTATTACTTTGTAGTTACTTTGCAGTATTTACCGAAAGTTTCCAAGTTTCCAGGAGTCTGAAGAATTCAAGCTATTTATAATAGTACTTCATTAATTGTTTCTGTAATGTGAAACAGAAAAATATTTCTTTTCTTCACCATAATTTTGGCCTTTTGCTCACTATCCCAAACCAAGACCATTTTATTGTTTACTAACAATAATTTTTGGAACGTACCTTATTTGGAGAGTAATCATTCTCTGAAATTATCACTGATATTTTAGTTTAAATATCATTGAACTTGACATTGTAAGTATTTGTATTTATATTTTTGCATGGTAGTGATATTCCAAGTATGTTGAAAAAATAGGCCAAACGCCGCCCCCGCATTTTATTTTCTCACCTTCTCGACGGCATTATCTTGACTGAAGAATAGCCCTTGATGCTAATGCAGTCAAGATGCGCAAGGACAGAATTATAATCCGGGCCATTTTTATTTAATCTGCGGTGGGTTTTTTCATTGAGCCTCATCATGTAGATTTTCATTCCGCTATATCCAAAAAAAATTGTGAAAGGATGTTGAGACTCGATCGCACCCGAGAGTCGTGTTACGATCGATACGCGCGCACCTGACCCCAGTAGCCTGGAGAAATACGTAGCTGAAGGCTACACCTACATTGCTTTCAGTATATATAGTTCACACGACGTAACAGATCATAAACACTAATGTTAAATTGGAAAAGTATCGTACTCAAGTACTACTCTCCTTCTGGGGTTCAGAGATCGATGCTTTTCACATAATTGAGAATTGATTTACAATAGAAATTAGTAGCCGTTTTCTATCGTTTTACTTTATTGGAGTCAACTCTTCTATATCTGAAAACTGATTATATTAGAGTATAACGGAGGAAAAGGAAGCGAAATTCTTCGAAATTAATTACGTTTGCAAGGTTGTCTGATCAACTGATAATCAATTTATATTTTGAAAAATTACCGTCAAAGTATTCAGTAAGTATCCAAAAATCGTACATAATATGTGCTTTAAAAGAAATGCATCAAATCAATTATCCAGAGATTAAAATATTTCGATTCGACATTATCAACAATCCTTCTTTTCCTCTACGTCAAAGGATCTCGATTAATAGACCCTTTGTGAAACACAGAGTGAAAAACGACTAAAAAAAAAAATATTTTTCCTTGCAAGGATTAACTTTTGCTAAGACACTTTCATATTCATCACAAATGATTCTTCATTGATTGCCGAAAATGATATCAATCAAATAGCACTGATATAATGCTAATGTAAAAATATAGCGTTGTTTAACAGCCAATCGTGTTTTGAAAGTCCTTGGTAATAGTCGGCCAGCATGACCAATTAAAAATGTAAATGGATTCTCGTTGAAAATTTCACTAACGAGACGAATGACACGCGAGTCATTGGAAGCGATATTAACCCCAAGAGGAGAATAATGCAAGCTACAATGCAACAGTTTGTTTCATGAATTTGCATAATAGTCGAACCATAATTTCTGGCCCTTTGCCACTATAGGTTGTTGCTTTCTTTTCTGTGGCCTCGTTCATAAACTACATCCATTAACCCAACTCATTAAATTGTCTCCTCTATGCGTTTCATTTTTTTAAATTATTGTTGTTACTATTATTATTATCATTATTTATTTTCTATAAAACTTGCTAAAAGAGTTTGTGCAAGTGTGGTGGATTGGACGTTGAATATAGATCATAACTCGGTCGAGCTCTGAAAACTTAAATTGTCAATGTGACTTTAAATATGAAACTGATGGGCTCGCTCGAGTATCTCAAATTTAGACGATTTTTTCTCATTATTTCTCATTATTTTATGGGAAAAAAAACAACACAAACTTTAAAATGTTGTTTATATTTTTACCTATTTTTAACACATGTTAGGAGTGGATTTTGCAGCATTTTTACGATAGTGTAACAATGATTTTATCTTAATAATCCCCATTCCATATATTTTACCACTGATCGATGAAAAAAAAAAGAATAGCAAATAATATTTTCATCACGGAAAATTAACGCCATGCACGGCTCAGTGTTCCGGGAGTTGCGCAGCCATGAATCTCTAGTTCCATTTTATTCACAACTCACTCCCTCTATGTAATATCACATTATCGGTTTTGAGTAGAAATTCATAGATATACCGTGAAACATCCGACCGATTCGATGTGCTTGTTTTTTTTCTTTTTTTGAAGATTTATAAAAAAAATTTCGAAAAAATCCGCGCATTTTCTAAAAACATCATCACCTCCCATTCCATTTTTTTCACATTCTACATCATTTGCAGGTAAAATGAGAGCAGGATGGTCAAAATAAAAAATTACTCGACCCAAATTAATAATGCACAATTGTATTATCTGCTCTATATTTTGCCAGCGAATGAATTATTGCCTGAAAATTGAGGGCATCCCTGGACCTGGCAACACTAAATACGTATATACCAATAAATCCTTAATTCATCTTGAGTGTGGCCACAATGGGTGACCTATATCAATTTCATACCCAGCCGTTCTCCTATCCGCGTTAATTACTAATTAACATAACAGCCGGTTAGTTTGGCACAATAAAGTATTTGCGCTGAGAACAGGCTAAAAATTCTAGTGAATAATTTTTAAAAGAATAAAACGAGAATATTTCACATATGCGAGAGAATAAGAGACATATATGTATAGTTGACGCTCCATATACAATACACAGACATACATTCCAATTGTAACAATTGGTCCATGAATGTGAGAGACTCTTTCTGCAGTCGTGTGTTTTCTCTTTTTCTTCGAGTGCTACTAATTCTTTTGATGAAGAAATACTACACACTATTGCTAGGGGTGAGAGGTTATTTTCATAAAGGGTACAACTTTAGCTGAGAGAATGAATTCCATGTTTTGCGGGTTTTTTATCATAATCAGCACGTCGTCATTTCTTGTTTTTCATTCTTATATCATATCACGGTCGCCGTCTTCTCATTACTTTCTCACTTATTTTTTCTCTTAACAAAAAAATAAAATAAAATAACCACTCGAAGAGCACCTCATCATCGGATTTGCAAATCCGTTAATAGCCTGCTTCCAATGGCATCTAATTTTTCCATTTGCAAAAGAATAATATCATACCCCAACCTCGCTGCTTTTCATTACCCATAATTTGAGAAATATATAACATTTTTCTCAATTTTCCAATAGAGGGAAAAGCTACGATACAAAGCTACGGTAGAGCTAGAGCTGAATCCTTTTTCCAATCTTTTGGTACATCTGAGCAACTCAATAATCGATTATCGAACTTTATCGAGCGTACTTGTGCTTAATCATCGCTCAATGAAGAATGACTACGTGTATGTCTTCATTCAATACTTGAAATTTTTCTTACACTCTTTGGAATAGTTGCGCTCGCTGATTTTAACCACCGTGTTTTGGGGGCAAGTTATTCAATTTCTCGTTAACTATTTGGAAAACACTCAGTGGTACAGAGCCAGTACGGAAGAGTAACTTTCCTTTCAACGTAATACAGCGTATGAGAACAAGTTTCGGAACGTGAACACAGTATGATACAGATATATATACCTATACGGACGGAGTTGAACAAGCGCTCAAGTAAATCAAGTATGATCGTATACTGTGATAATAAAATTTTTCTAGGCTTTCGTTATTTTGAGCAATTTTTAGATAAATAATCAATGGTAATAACCATTTTGAAAGAATTTCCACAACTTTTTCAATATTATATGTAGTATGATTTTCTGATATAGTGGAAAAATCATATGCAGAAGAATGATAATTAATGTTAATGCGGCGCGAGCGTAGCGATATATGAATATCGAGCTGGTTTGGCAGCTAATTCAAAACAGTTTGATTGTCAAACCAACTCACAGCTTTGCATTATCATTTACCCCATGTTCCTCCTGAGAAAAAACCTAAGGATCATATTTTTTGAGTCAGTCACAAAAGCATGGAGATATTAAGTAGTTACTGTTTCATCGGAAAAGCTCTCTAGATAAGCTGGTAAAATCTACAATTCAGGGACGTGTGTCGAAAAAAAAAAAAAAAAAAAAAAA